ATTCCAACAAATATATTACCCATCTTGCATGAAGCAAGATTTTCCTACTAGAAATCACTGTCCTCTTTTGAGAATGAAAACTGTGTTCACAGAAACAATGTTGGTCACCACAATGTAAAATAGATGTTGAGACTCTACAAAGAGTACAGAGAAGAGCAGCAAAGATGCTTAGGGGATTGGAGGCTAAAACATATAAAGAACAGTTGCTGGAATTGGGTATGTCTAGTTTAATGAAGAGGAGGACAAGGGGTGACATGATAGCACTGTTCCAATATCTCAGGCCTGCCACAAAGAAGAGGGAGTCAAGCTATTCTCCAGAGCACATGAAGGCAGGACAAGAAGCAACGGATGGAAACTGACCAAAGAGAGAAGCAACCTAGAACTAAGGAGAAATTTTCTGCAGTTAGAACAATTAACCAGTGGAACAACCTGCCTCCAGAAACTGTGAATGCTCCAACACTGGAAGTTTTTAAAAAGAGACTGGACAGCCATTTGTCTGAAATGGTATAGGGTTTCCTGCCTGAGCAGGGGGTTGGACTAGATGACCTCCAAGGTCCCTTCCAACTTTATCAACATCATCATCATCATCATCATCGGCAAAGGTCGTATTGTGCTCAGTGAGTGTCTTCATCACTAAACATGAACAAAAGTATTACTCAAATATTTACTCAAAGTAGCACATATTAATTATATAATGCAATATAAACAAAATACACAGTGCAAGATTAAAACCTCAGTTTAAAAAATCAGAATAATTCACCATCACTATTTAATAAGATACTACTTAGCAATATTAAGACCAAAGATTTCAAACATAATGATTCGAATATAAATTTTGTATTTAGGCACTTACATGGCTTATGTTACAATTCTAATTTTGAGCAGGTGGCTCACAGTTGGACACCAAGTTCTTTTAAAAAATTGCAAAAATAACCTACCATATGTTTAACTTTATAGATCAGGATGTCACAAATGAAGTTTGAATCTAAAACACTAAAATATACATTATTATCAAACTGACTATTTGAACTGAATACTCTGTTTCAAAAGCTGCAAGAGGCACTATTTCAAATTTAAAATAATGTTCAGTTTAGGAAGCATGCCATAACTTAATGTGAAATATCAATTGTTTTAAGCCAGTGAACTACATTATTTTCTCCACTCCCACAACCTTCATTCCAATAGTCTGGAGGAGGCAACAAAATGTGCAGCATGTTTTGTTCTATATCTTTGGGGTATGTGTCAGTTTTGCTTCTGCAGAAAACTGGTACAGAAAACACACACACACACAAACATACTTCCAAAAAATAAAAAAAATGCAGTGCTCCACAATATCACTTTTCTTAAGCCAACCTGATATAATCTAAAAATTCTCTAAGTGTGGGCAGGGGAGAATATTTTAGTCAACAAAAGAATAAATAACATATGAAGCGATGACCTAAATACTAAATTAATTCCAGATTTTTTGACCACAGATGTCTCTAAACAACTTTAAAAGTTGAATTACAGATTAGTGTATTGTCTGAGATGCAAGATGTGCTGGAATTCTGTATTTTAATGACCATCCAGAAATCCTGTAAAAGTCTTAACGATATAATGACCAAAAATGCCTAAAAGATGGTTCCGTACTATATATATACGTATATATTTCTTAAAGTGTCATTTCACACTATGATGGATTTATTATATAATATATTCTTTGCTGTGGATTAATGCCTCCCCACTGAGAAAAAGCACAGTAACTATTACACTAGGTTTTGAACGCATGATAAGAATTTCAGAACCTTTCCCCAGCCTACTGAGCTCAGATGTTTTACAGCCATAAATATAGAATTAGAAACTAGCATAGTAGCTAAGTACCTAAGAAGTCTGGATGTTGTCATTTAACATAACTTAGTGCACTTGGTTAAGAATTGGTGAATTAAGCCTCAGGAAAGGGCTATATTACACTTGCATTCTGTGTTTATTTTTTTACTATCAGTTTTCTGCAGAAATAGAAAATAAAAAACACAGACATAAGCACAAATTTAAATATATATATCTTTACTTTTTCTAAGAGTAAGAAATAATGAATAATTAGAAGAAATGTTGAGACTTTATGAGAACAGGTCTTCAGAAAAGCTTCTTTTGCACATCTTTAAAAGGTTTCAGAATACTAGTTAATCAGAAGGTGAGATAGAACCTTTGTTTCTTTCAGTGTTTAACTATCTATTCATGGAATCTTCACAGAAGTTCATCCTATAACAGAAGCAGGATGCATTGTGGATGCCAAGACTCAAGGAGTGGAAAAAGTCTATCAGGAAACAATAGAAAATACTATCCGTTTATTATTTAGACTCACTAAATGATAGGAGTGTTTATATCTCCCTCTGTCCTACTCAGCATCCATGAGATTCCTTAAAAATTAGCCTTCTTGCAATTACCTCTTTTTAATTTTGTTTCTTTGGGGAGGGGAGGCTTCAAGCCAGTCTTGACTCCTGACAAATGCCTAGGCAACTTTTCTTCACAACTTTAATCAGAAGTGCTTTGTCATTCTTTCTATGGCTGCCCGTAGGACAGTGAGTTGGTCAAAGTCACCTAGATGGGCCTAAAACTGGACTAGTTTATCAGGGACCTTGGTACTGTCTCCCAGCCAAATCTATAATATAGGGGTCATTGTATGAAAGTAGAAGAAATAATTTCTGTTATTAGCTCTGTTTCCTAAAACTCTTGAGAGTAAAAAGTAGATTAAATACAATAAGCAAAAATCGATACTTGATCGGTACCAATGATCTCCCACGATCGCTTATATATAAAATGTTGAAATGTTATAATGTGTAATATATACCATAGCTAAATTGTATATCCAGTTGGGAGGTCACTTCCATAACCCCGTAGACATTTTACTTATAATTACATGGACTGTATGTATATATGTTTACTTCTCTTCTATCATGTTCTCATCATATGCTAAATAACAAATAACCATAGGGGAACAGAAAATAATTTCAGAATAAGAAAATGAGGAGGAACAGATAGCTAATACTATGTCAGTGTTCAATTAGCATCTCAGTCTCAAGTTTTTTTATATATTACAAATTTGGCAGTTGGGTTGCGATGGTCACTGACAAACAAGTATGCTTACATGGATCTGTGGTTCTGAAATACATCAGCAATTTCTGGATTCTATTTAAAGTCAGGCTGCCCACCCTAAATAGATACAACTGATATATATGATTCCTTCTTGCTTGCTTTCTTCAAATCATACAGCTCTACCTTTTCCATGATTCCTATTACTTTACATAGTTCTTAATATAGCTAAACTAAAATGTAGTTAAAATTCAACCAACCTATGTTGGCTCACAATCTTCTACTGTCTGGTTCTTCATCCCCCCCCCCTCATCTTGTTGTTTGTCCTATGTTCCTTTCCCCCCACCCCCACCTCCCAGACACTATTGAAATGGAGACTGTAAACTCATTGGGGCCAGGACCTCTCCTTTAAAGTGCCACGTACAATGATCTATAAATAACAACATCAGCACTATGAGAGGTGACAAAAATGTCTAAGTATTTCTATAGCTGAAAATTACTCCTTGTCTGAAGCTTAAATGTCAGCAGTACTGAATATATGTTCCAATGATTTTAATGTGCTATTTTAAAATGTGACTTACTGTTCCTGTTTTTCAGTGATCCAATTTCCAAATGTAGCCCCTATGTCTGAAGGATGCTTTCCCCCATATTCTATATTAGTTTAAATTATATTAAGATATATGCAGCCCAAATCCTTTGCAACTTTAGTCCCAATTAATTTCCACTGATTTAAATTGTACTTATCCCCAAGTACATTTGTAAAAAGCTTCATCTATAATCAAATAATCTTCTATGGGTTAAAATTAGTATTAGAAAACCAATTGCTTGAGGGTTTGAAAAGGGATAATACATCACAACCATTTAATCCTCTCACCAAAAATATGAGATGGGCAGAAAATCCCTAGATACTGGAAGTTTTTGATTATTTTGAGATTACTACAAAAATTCACAGGTCTTTATTATTCAAGCTATTTTAATTAAGTTTCTCCATCCCAAGAAGCCTTACCACAATTACTTTTGTGCAATGAAACTTAACATTGAGCTGCATGTATCTTACATCATTCTAGAACTGTTTCTGTTCACATCTTAAATGGCTTTCTCCATTCCTGTTGATCATATTGCCACATCCACAATAAAATCAAATGATACAATTCAATTATATTATTATAGAGGCAATAATGGATGAAGATGTTTTTCTTCCCTTTTATTGACTGTCACATCTTGGAATTATCATCATAAAATTTGCCTGAACTTGACTGAAATCTGAGACATTTGGAAATATCTTTATATCTATATCTATCTATATCATCTATACACACACTATATATATAGACTGGACAAAGTCTAAACATATTTCTACAGAAAACTCTTCCAATAATTACTCAGTTCTCATACTATTATTATTAATATTATTATTGCAGGCATTGGAATTCAAAATCCTTCTTAACAGATCTAGGTTGGTATCTCAAAGCAGCTTGCAATAATTAGTGTGGGGAGGGAATTCTATTTACTATTTCTTTGAAAATTGTATTTTGTTCTCTGACAGGCCCAAGATGAGATTTCTTGCAGAAATCATATTCTCTCTGAAAAAGCAGAACCAAACCTGAGACAACTGACATCACTCTTCCCAGATACAAGTTGGAAGCCCAGCTTCCTCAAAGGGGAAAAAAAACTTGCTCCCTGTTTGGACCTTACTCTGATGCTTCTTGGGGGGAAAGGAGATGTCACCACTTGTCTTCATAGGAAAGAAAGATCCAAAGCCCAACAGGGGAAGAAGAGCAGAAGGAAGAAGCATAGTTGGGGAGAAGGAGCCGCAGCAGAAGTGTGTTGTTTACGGGGTTTTTTTCTTTCTTTCTTTTTTTGCCAGAAGCCCCTCAGAGATGCACTATTCTTTTACGAAACCATTTGTGTGCCGCCAAATCTTACTGTACCTCGTTGCGGCGCTGCTTGTTGCTGCTGCGGGCTCCGCTGCGGCCGTCGGGGCTGCCCAAGTAAAGAACCGCACCGGTTCAGGGCGACGGTGAGGAGCAAGAGGGGAAGCCAAGGCGCCCGCCCCATAGCGGCCAACTTCAAGCTCTCTCGCTCCCGCGCGCGCTTTCCCTCTCTGGTTCGGCGCTCCCGGCGAGCGCAAAGGAGTGTGAGGGGAGGCAGACAGCCCGCCTCTGAGGAAAAGAGGAGGCGGCGAAGCCCTGGCTGTCACCCGGGAGGGGGACCGCGGAGGGACACGCCCCTGTCGCCTTCGCCGCCGCTACTTTTTCTCTCAGCTTCTTCCACGGGGGCTGAGGAGTCACAAGACAATGAACAATCGGCGAAGTCTTCCAAAGAGGGAGGCTTAGCGCGAATTAACTTGGGAGGGGGTGCTTTGCGCGCACGGCGTGCAGTGGGCATAAAAGAGCAACTGCTCGGTCTTGCCTAGAGAAGTGAGGATGCAGAAGAAGACTCTAAAACTTGGACGCTCTTAAAGTCGACCTTGAAGAACTGGAAGATGTTTCATTAGATCACACACACACACACACTCACACATCCCAAACTCATCGCCGGGAGAAGTGAAACCGCCGAATGAAAACCAGGGAGTAGAGAAAATGGGGGCAGAGAATTTTTCTTGCACCCTTGGAACATTCCAGATTCAATTTCTTGGATTAAAACAATTCAACTAAGACTGGACTAGATGAGAGTAAGATGAGCATCACTAAACACATTTGAGCTGAAGTGCTCTAATCAAAAGTTTCTTGACAAGTTACCGAAGTTGGTTTACTGTTCTCTATGCTTTCTTAGTAGTCTTTCATTCAAGTACTAACCAGCTCCTACACTGCTTAGCTTCTTCAAGATAAGCCAATTGCAGATGGATGCAGATTCCTTCCAGGAGCAAGACTGTGATTTGGAGGCTCTTCTCAACTCATGGCTTCTTTGGAATCATGGAGGCCATGACTAGGGGAGCTTTTGCCCGGTTTTGACTGATGCACCTATTGCAGTGGTGGCGAACCAATGACACACGTGCCAAAGGCAGCACTCAGAGCCCTCTCTGTGTGGGCACACGTGCCATGCCCTGGAGATGGCAACCGTCCCTCTTCAACCTGCCGCCTGCTAACTCAAGGTCCCACGTGGCCGGATGCATCCCAGCATAGCTAGTTTCCCTCCTCCTCCATCCCATCCTTCCTGATCTCGCATCCTCTCCTTTTCCCGGGCACGACCTGCTGCATCACCTCCTCAGCTGTCAGCCAGCCATTCAGCTCAGAGGCGGCTTCTCTGAACTGCTGGGGGCAGACTGCAGAGTGCGCTGGTCGAGAGGCCGGCAGGTTGTGTCTGCTGATGGACACTGATGCCCCATATGCTCGCTGGCCTCTGTGTGTGGGGCCAACGGTGTCACGCAGCAGCCACCCCGGCCCTGCTCACTTTGCCCTGCGACAAGGCACCCCCCACCCTGTCTCGCCCTGTCTCACCTCACCATGCAGGACGAGCCTCCTGCCACCTCCCCACCTGCCACCGACTCCCTGGATCTCTCCCAACCCTGCCTGGCCCCCACAGGCGTCCCTCCCCACGAGCAACATTGAGGTGACCACACCCACCTTAACCACACCCACCCAATCTGCCATGACCACAGCCACGCCCATCCAGTGGCCAAGCCCACCTGGCACCCGGTGATAAATAAGTAGGTTTTGGGTTGCAGTTTGGGCACTCGGTCTCTAAAAGGTTCACCATCACTGACCTATTGCATCTTTATCTGGTCCAGGTGAAGCCAATGAAAAATCCCTCCTGCTCTCATAACCAACCTCATAGACTCCTGCAATGTACTTTACTTGTGGCCACCTTCAGAGACCTGTCAGAAATTGCAATAAGATCCACATGTGGTGGCCCATGTCTTCACTGGTTCCTGATGCTGCCAGAGTATTTGCCAACTGTTTGGTCTAGTCTAGAAACCAGGAGACTGTGTATTCTAGTCCCTCCTGTGTATTCTAGTCTGAAAAATTGGCTGGGCAACTTTGGGCCAGTCATTCTCTCCCAGCCAACCCAACTCACAGGGTTGTTGCAGTGGGAGAAATAGGAAAAGGAATATTATGTATGTTTGCCACCTTTGGGTTACTTATAAAAATAAATAAATAAATATTATTTTTAAACTGCTGGTGTTAATCTAAAAAGATATTTGTGACTTGACACTTGAGTATCTATAGGACCATCCTCTCTGATGAGAATTAGTTTGACCTGTTAGATCAGGGGTCTTCAAACTTGGCCCTTTTATGACTTGTGGACTTCAACTCCCAGAATTCCTGAGGCAAGCATGCTGGCTGAGGAATTCTGGGAGTTGAAGTCCACAAGATATAAAAGGGCCAAGTTTGAAGGCCCCTGTGTTAGATCATATATAGAGGGGCTTCTTATTGTCCTGCATTTCCAGAGATGTGAACCAAGGCTAGAAAGCCTTATTTATCCTTAGCAGGACCAGTGCTATGGAATGGGTGATCCACTGAGATTAGATGGCCTCCTCCCTCTTAGATTTTGGGAATGTTCCTCCCCCCAAGACCCTTTCAGTAACATCACTGGCCCAGCTTGTTCTTATTTATTTTTCTCTTCTATTTTAATTTTGTTTTTATTATTTGGATTGAATTCTGTTTTAATTTTGTTGCCATTATAGTGACATTATAATTGCCGAGAGTAATGAAATAAACAAGGCAATTTAATTTGTTTTTGTAGTGATGTAGAACAGGGGTCTCGCAGTCCTCCAGGCATACTTTAGAGATGACAGCACTATTTGTAAATTCTCAGAATGCTAACAGCAAAACTATAGGAAGTGCTCCAGGGAGGGGAGCAGCACCTTAGCGCAGCTTAGCAAGTCTCCAAGCAACAGGAGAATTTTGTGGTCAAGTCACTCAGGTGGCACCTTGACACCCGTCACACTTAGCAGCATCACCTTCCAGGAATTGCGGTCTGCTTGTGCCCTCTGTGGTAGTCACTGCCCAGGGAGAGGCAACAGGAGTACCGAGTGGGAAAACTATTAAACAAGCAAGCTAGATTGTATCATCCTAGATAGTATTCTGAAGAAAACTGCACATCAATAATAAAGTCAAAAATTGATGTTCAGGTTGATAAAAAAAACAACATTGCCAGGTACTGGTAAGAATGGCATGGGTCTGTTCTCAACTTGGTTCACAAGTTGTTCTGACACTCAAAGAAGGGTTTTGTTTTGCTTTATTTTGTTTAATAAGTGTATGTATGAAGAGACAATGCCCTCCCTTCATGTTTGATTCAGGGATACTTTTGTGCTAAGATAAGAAAAGACTTCTTGTTGGGGTTGTAGGCTAATGAATTAGTCAGGCAACATTCAGTTTGAGTTTGAGATCTTGATGCAATACAAAAAGTATACTTTCATACAAGAAATATAATAATATTATTATGAAAGTTAATTGTGGAAGTAACTTTAAATTGCTACAAGGATCTTTAAAAATGGATTACACGCTTCCAAGTCAAAAAGAATTCATTAGAAATGAAAATGCTACAAAAGAAGGACAAAAGAAGATGTTGACAATGGAACTGAGATAACAAAGAAGAAGTTGAATTTCAGGGATACAAAGAGGCGAGGTAGTAGAAGAACTGTAAGAGGGAGACAAGTCTTAAAATGGGGTTACCATAAATTCTATATTTGAAATTCCCAGAGAAAGCAATTCACTTTATATGCCACAATACTAACTACTGTAGGATAAGAGAAATATGATAAAAACAAACATAGATGACAGAGATATTTTACATGAAAGAACTTCTCATTGAATGTGTAATATGCAGACTAAATCTTACTCTTACTGCAGTAAAAATCTGTTCAAATAAATACAAATAATCAAGATTGAGAAACATGTTCTTTGTCTAGATGTAGTGGCAAATCTTGATGTGATAGAATATGCACCTGGAGAAGCAGTACGGGAGGGGGGATGAGTTTTGGCAACACAGTGTTTTCCCACAGAGAGACCCAGATTAAGAGACTGTACAGTCTGGAGCTGGAAGGGAGATGGGGGTGAAGAAGTTCAGGGTAGCTACACTTTAGAATCTATCAGGATATCTCTAGTACAGGGGTGTCAAACTCGCAACATTACATGACGTGTCACGTCTTTTTTTCCATTGCCAGCAGTGGGGTGGGCGCAGTTTTGGCATGATGCATCCAGCCTGCGAGCCAGCAGTTTGACATCCCTGCTCTAGTAGTAGGTTAGAAAGTTATAGCTTTAGTTTGGCAAACTCCCTTAGGTGTAAACAAATAAGGATTGGACTCAACTGAATCTTGCTGTGTCATCTGTAGGCTTGGGCCTGATGTAAATCTTACCAAACTAATGTTATAACTCTATACCCTAGTAAATGTAGCCTGCATGGCTACCCTGAACCTCTTTCACCCTCTCCCATCCATTTTGGGACTGTGCAGTCCCTTAATCGGCCCTCTCTCTTTTTTGGAAAAGCTCTGTTGCCAAATTTCCACACACACATATGTACACATATTTCCAGGTGCACATTCTATCACACTTATGCAAAATGAATGATGTATTAAATACAACTTAAAAGTGTTGAACAAATTATAGAAAGGAGTGGATAAGAATAGAACAAAAATATGAATAAAGAAAACATGATGACTTGTGAGTTCCAAAATGGATTTTGATTTATGCTAAAAAATCAAGTTCTGAATGGATTCAGCTTTCTTGTGATATATTTTCATTCAAATTCCAAACATATTTATTCTGAAGTAAACTACACTGAATTAAAAAAATCTTTTCAGACAGACATGGATTTGTTGTTGTTGTTAGTTGCGAAGTCATGTCTGACCCATTGCGACCCCATGGACAACATTCCTCCAGGCCTTCCTGTCCTCTATCTGGAGTCCATTTAAGCTCACGCCTACTGTTTCAGTGACTCCATCCAGCCACCTCATTCTCTATTGTCCCCTTCTTCTATTGTCTTCAATCTTTCCCAGCATTAGGCTCTTCTCCAATGAGTCCTTCCTTCTCATTAGGTGGCCAAAGTATTTGAGTTTCAACTTCAGGATCTGGCTTTCTAAAGAGCAGTCAGGGTTGATCTCTTCTGGGACTGAGCAGTTTGATCGCCTTGCAGTCCAGGGGACTTGCAGGAATCTTCTCCAGCACCATAGTTCAAAGGCCTCAATTCTTTTGCGCTCAGCCTTTCTTATGGTCCAACTTTCACAGCCATACATTGCAACTGGGAAAACCATGACCTTGACTATATGTACTTTTGTTGGCAGGGTGAT